AGTGGAGTTTAAAATGTCTCTCCTCAAGAAATAATTTAAGAAACCAAAAAACCCACCCCTATTGTTGTGTTATTTGTTTGTTTGTTTTTTGTATTTATTTATTTTTTTAGTTTTGAAGCAAGAATAGGAAGCTTATACAAGCCAAATATAGAAGTACATGAGACGTGACACCACCTGTCAGTCAAACAAATCACCCTGGAAGATTGTCAGCAAATGACCAATAATAGCAATTTGTCCCACAGTAAAACCACCCCTCCCCTGCAGGAGCCGCAGTGTAGGAGACACAGGCTTTTTGTCAAAAAAATAAAAAAGACATCTAATTAGTGTTGTCAGTGGGAAACAAATCAGACGCATGTTACCCAGAAGTATGTGGGGGTTGGAACACAGCTAATTATTCACCAAAACGAAAGGAAGTCTTGATAAAAGTAAACAATAGACAGACCTGCTGTGAGCAGCTGAAAACCTGAATCAATAGCAGCTGCTGATTGTTCATCTGTCCAGAGATAACAAACAATCCTTTATTTGTCATAGTTACATTTTTTATGGGTTTTTTTTTCCTGACACAAACTTGCATTGCTTAATTAATTATCTGTATATGTATATTATATTTGGTACATATCCAGCTGTAAATGTATTTCATAACACTATATTCAATATTTATAATAGTATTCATCTCTATACTCATTCAGTAGAAATACCCCCGTCCTGTATTTATGGAACCATTATTTATCCTGCACTTGCTGCTTTTGCACTTCTGGTTAGACCTAAACTGCATTTCGTTGTCTTGTGCCTGTACATGTGTAATGACAATAAAGTTGAATCTAATCTAATCTAAATACAGATGCCTGTGGCCATAATCTGTATCCAATGTAATGTGCTGACATGGGATACAAATATCCATTCACAGCCTGATTTATATTAATAAACATATGCAGATTTTCACCCCCTCTTTTATTTACTATGTTCACTCACCTGACTAAGATCATTTTTTTCCTTGTGCTGCCTTGAAATTAATTTAATTACTTGATGTAGAAAATAACTTTGCCTGTTGTATTTGTCTTAAGGTTTGCTGCAGGAAATAGGCCTCATTAAAATGCCTCTACCTAAGGTCGTGCTTCACTAATGCTGCAAAAACTATACTACGTTTGTCTGCGTTTTTTTTTCTAAACTGGTTGGCTCTTCGGGGTAGACAGTTGGTGTTGCTTCAGTTCAATACAGTAATGATACAGCACTGGTAATCAAATGTACTGACATTCATTACAGGTATAGAGGACAGTCTTTTATTTCCAGGTGGATCATCTAAATAAGTGGTCCTCTTACTGTCAATCATTCTGGTGATGAACTGTCAGGACATCTACAAACTGTGTCAGTGTGGTTCCATAATGCAGGGCTGTCTCTGAATGTTAAAAAAAAACTATGTCTGTCTGTTTCTCTTCTAGGACCAAGCCCATATCTCAGGAACTAAATTTACAAATAAATGGAGCCAGAATCCAGCAGTTCTCAGAAATCAAGTATCTAGGACTAATACTTGACTCATAACTGAAATTTGACAGCCATGTAAAAAAAAAGTGTCCAGAGTAACAGAAGCAAACTTGTACACATTCAAACTGATTAGAGATTACCTACCTTTTCACTCTGCTGACAGTTTTGTGCACTCCATGATCTTTTCAAATATTTTCAAAACTGGTTTACAAATGCTTGCATGATCAGGCCCCTGAGGTTTTGAGTGACTGTGTAGTTCCTCTCAGAGCTGTGGGCTCAGTTAAAAGAGGACCTCACAGTGGAAACTGTCAAGTACCCAGATGCAAAACTTCCTTCAGACAATCAGCTTTCACCGTACAAGGCACCAAAACATGGAATACATTACCTGCAGAACTGAAGGGAGAGTCCAGCTGGGTCCTTTTTAAACATAAACTTAAAGACTTTTTTATTGAGAGGTCAGCCATTGTGAACATTAATAATCTAACTGACCTGATCTTGTATTTGTGATGTTTTAGTGTGTAATTTGTTCTGTTGTGTCTTGTGTACAGTTACTGTGTTTTGTGTAAAAGCCTAACTGGGGACAGGCATTGAGAATTAGCCTTAGCTAAAATGTTGTAGTGTGTGACATGATTCATGAAACATACTTGTCCCTATCAAATAAACGAATAAATAAAAAAAAAAAAATGATACGTTAACGTAAGATCCGACGTGCTCGCCCCATTAGCTATGTTTTTCTGAGCATGGGCACTTTTGCCCGCATTTGTGTGGTGAGCTACGGTTTCATACAGTCATTGAAGCTCACCATTCTCACAGCTTTCAAAATGGTCGTAGGAGAAAAAGTGCCTACGATGTTTATTAGAAGAAAAGAAATGCCTCAGATGAGGCAGATATATCCTGGAAGGCTTTGCATTGAGAGCTCTCCTCGCAAAGGCTTATAGGATTAGCTGTCACAGTGGCCTGCTGTTGCCATACGCTGTCGCTACCCAACAGGTAATAACAAAGATGGCGCAGGCAGCATCCAGTGGAGGAGGAGTTATGTGACCAATGGGGAAAAAGCAGAAAAGCAGTGATCATCTGTCCGCACGGTCAGTTAACTGAGTTTGCTATAGAGTCTACTATATAGTCCCCACAAGAGCATGTGAGCGGAGCGAAAGAAATATGATGGAGCACGGAGAGGTTTTTAATTCAAAGGCCGAAGTAAGGATTTAGCTCCGCTCCAGTTCGCTCTGATGCGCTCACAATACACGATACATGTGCTGTGTACACACAGCACATGTATCGGTCACGTCATTAAATCAATGCCGTGTGTCCCAGGGCACTGGCAAAATTACATGAAGGAAAAATGTCACAAAATGCCTTCTCCTGAAAATTTGAGCGAGCGTGGTGCGATTTCACCGGAGCGGCAGGAAAATTAAGGTGAGCGAATTTTGAGCAGCAGTGTCCTGGCGCAACTTTGAGCAGCGGAGCGAATAAGCGAACATCCTCCTGGGTGGGGAGCGAGATTTGCGTGGCGCTGCACTGCGTTCACATGCTCTGGTCGCCACTCTGTATAGTAATTGAAGGATTTAAGGGTTAGGGCGGACGTTCAGGGAACAGTAAGCTTGTATGAGCTATGAGAACAGCAACTTTGAAACAGAGCGTGCACAAGGAGAAATGGGCTCATTTAATATGCGTTCTGTTTCAAGGAGCATGTACAGAGTTGTGCATGCGCATTTTTTTAAAGTGGAGAGGGCGAGTCTTTTAAATAATTAGCAAAAATCCTCCACAATACCTCAAACTGTGACAGCGTTGCTTTTCAAAAATATATTGCTTTTCAGATATGTAATGGCACTCACATCTTAGTAAGTGGAGAGCCCTATCACTTACGTATACCCATGACCACCGCTGCTTGGGTTAAGTGTTTGTTGTCTAGAAGAATGATTTTAAAGTCCAAGGGAAACAGCTGTTCCAACCGTCGCATTTCCGAATTCTCCCGATTGGTGCTCGACTTTACATGAGTGAATAAAGTGAATGTGATTGGTCGTTTATCAAGAGGGCGGGATTGTTATTGCTGAAGGTCGGCAAGCAAGTTTGGTTCTGGCCGGTTCCTCGGAAGCATCTTGCTTACCAGTTAGCAACTTATTGCTAGTAGGTTAACAATGGGAAATTCCATTGGGACCAATAGAAACGACACTGTCAAGGAAGACTATGGACAGCAGAAACATGCAAGGGGAGGAGAGTTTTGTGTTGGAGGTCATGGATGAGTCTCCTCCGTCATACATTTTTTATTTAAGATGTTGTGGAAGAGGACGCCAGGGTGGCAGAAGCTTGGTTTGGTGTAGAAGGCTTACAGCCGTACATGTTTGAGCCCTTGCCTCGCAACGCTGCCAGTTCTGTTAGCTCTATACCTGCTGAAGACACAGAGGTCCATCCCCGTGAACACTGGGACGGAACATAATGGGAAAGTAAATTATTCTGATTTCTCATTTCAACAGTTGAGTATATCAGCTGCGACATATGAATCAAGATGCTATGACCCAAAAAATTTGATTGACAGATGACCGTTGATATATGACTGGCCAAATTTAGGTGTACAGGCTGATGTATAACTAACTGGCATGCATAAGATAGCGGGGAAAAAAACACGATAAAATACGACAGGATTTTTAGAAATTTTCTACATTTTGGTACAATTTCATCTGAAAAAGAGTACATAAAGAGTTCATTTATATACATGTTAATAAATAATACTACTTATACTTCAGCGATAGTATCAAGGTCTTACTTTATTGTATCTCTTATACTATATCCCTTAGTTGTGCTGTTCTTTTCAGATCGCTTTGCAGGTGATGAAGCAGACTGAAGATTTTTTTTATCATTATCTGTCTTTTATCTCCTCTCTCTTTAATCTTTTCTCCTTTTTTCTGTTTCTCCTTTCCTGTTCTACTTACATTGCAATGTCCATATAATCTGTAATACTCCATGCATAATTATAATAAAGCTATTTATATGCATAAATCAGGCGGAACACTATGGCGATAGCTGTACTGCTCCACTTGTATGTATGTATATATATATATATATATATATATATATATATATATATATATGTATATATATACATTTGAATTGACAGATGACCGTTGATGATTGGCCGAATTTAGGTGTACAAGCTACAAAAACCTCCCTCAAATTTTAAGACAGGATTTCTTTATTTTTTTTAAAGAAATGTTCTAAATTTTGGGACAATATCATCTGATAAAGAGTAGATTTACATGTTTAAGCCAGAATGATTTGACATTTAAAAAGGATTTCCCTACGACTTTAAGTTTGATTTCCAGGCGAAGCTCCTTTTCCCTGTAAGACTATCTAAACATTTGAAACGGTAACATGAATGTTTGGTTTGTCTTAATAGGCTTTTGTAACTTGTGACTGAATGCCATGATAGCGTATGGCCATTCAGCTTCCCACATCCTGTTACACGTGCCCTACGTAGCGCAGCCTATAAAAGCGGCTCAGCTCTCCAGCAGACCGCAGCAGTGAGCGCTGAACGCGCAGAGACACCAGTGCGCAAAGGAAACCCTTCACATGGAAAATCTCTTGTTTTCTGAGGCTGCTTCCTCATTCACCACCGATTCGATTCAAAGGATTTTTTAGAAAAAGCAAAAAGAAAAGCAGTTCCACTGAGAAGAATAAAATATAAGAATTTAAAAGGAGAAATAATCCAAATCTGCTCTGCGTTATTTAAGCAGTATCCTCATCTAAAGCAGAAGAAAGTACAGGTAAGTTTAACATTTTCTTTCGCTAAAGATGGTGACTCAGTTATTAGGTTTTAATGCTGGTTTTAATGTTTCAATATTAATTTGGCTTTTTCTGCACCTTGTGCCAAATATGAATGTCCCAATTATGGGAAACGGGACAGTCAGTCAGAGGGAGATCAGTGTCTGTATTGGTAAAATAAAAACTAAACACATTAGATAGAAATGTTAGAGCAAGAATATCTTATGTGGACAGTTGGTGTTCCAAGTTCTACATTTGATTTAAAAATTAACAGTTTTTATGTAACTATTTGAAATGTTATTTTGTTTTTTGTTTTCTTTGAGTTTAGTTTTTTGTTTGACTGTTCTTTTGTTTTTTGTGGCTCTTGTTTGAAATGTGTTTGAATTAAAAAAAAATAGGTTTCTTTTTTGCTCGATTGTGACTTAGGAAAAGTTAAGTATCTGTTTTATTTTTCAGTCTTAGGATTGCTTTCCTCGAATTGTATTGAATGTATTAGTTTGGGTGGGCGGGTGGGCAAGAAAAGACCCCTCAGAGGTAAGGGGACCCACTTGGGTGGGAATGTCCCAGTGGTCCTGAAAGAAGCAGCCCCCGGTATGGCATTATGGAAATGTGAGAATCTTTAGCGCATTCCACATGTTCTTACAGAAGACCTTGATACTAGTTAGACTTTAAAGGCTTCATATCGTGTGTTCCACTGTGATTATCTTAATTGTTGATGTTCAAATGACCAAAAAGAGACATTATGCAGAACACAATCTGTCCTTTATTTTCACAGATGTTTGCTTTTTTTCAGCGTGTCTTTGTCTGTCTTCTGATAACATAAACTGTACTTACTTTTCCTTTGCTTACTACTTATGAAGACACTCAAACTGTGCTTTAACACAGCATTCTCTGACTTAATATTGTACTTCATAAATAACCCAAATAAATAGAGGATAATATGCTGATGAAGATTCTCAGTCATCCAGGTCAAAGTCATTCCATAAAAGTAAAAAAAAATTCCAAAAAATCCACATGACTTGGTTTCAAAGATTTGAATCCAAGTCTCAATTCAAATGTCTGGATCCGCAGTGAATTTGAGTCTATATATAGACAAGGCCTTGTATTGCTTGGAAACATGCAAATGGGCCCGATGAATGGGTCGTTTGGTTCCCTTGTTTGCCTGTAATACATGAAACCTGTCTATGATTGTTAAGGGACCCTTACCAAGGTAACACTCGATCCTAACATTTGGCTGAGTCATGCAGTATGGTCTAATGAGCACATTGTTGATTTGATTTGGACCAGTTTTCTAACTGAGTTCTGAATGTGTTAAAAATGTAGGATTCTCTGATAGTGAGAGGGATGCTGTTCCAGATTTTACTGCTCCAGACTGAAAGAACAATCTGGTGGTCCATCTGAAGGCCTCTAGCCATAGACTGAGTGGCTTTGCCAGAAGAGGATTTCAGTTTTATGAATTCTCTTATTGGCGGTGGCGCAATTGCATTAAGTACTTTATAAACCATGCAAGCAAATATAAGGTAATTAAATTTATCAAAGTTGAGAAGATTGTAAGTCTTAAGACTGCTACAATGTTGGTACGAAACAGGGTTTTTTTTAGCAAAAAAATGTAAAGCTTTTTTAGATCATGATTTATTTAGAACACTGCTCAGTGTTTATTATGAGTCTTTTCTGACCAGAGAACCGTCTTCTATATATTTGCTTTGTCCTTTTTGTAGCTTACAAATGGGATGTCTTATTCCCTTTTCAACAGTTTTTTTTCTTTTGCTGTTCTCTCACAAAGGCCTGAAGAGCAAAATACTAGTGTAAACACTTTCTCCCACCTGAACTCTGGATTTTAGCTCTCAGTGAGTTACTATAGGCATCTTTGTTGCTAATCTGAGTAATGTTCCCCTTGCCAAATCCGTACTCTTAGGGAAACGGTCATGTGTTGGTAGGTTTTGTAGCTCAGGTCTTTCTGTATCTGCGTGATGCTACTTGATCCCTAATGTTTCCTCGCAAATCTCACAGGCTTTCCCAGAATAGCTGTATTTATACCAAGATTCAGTTACATGGTTGTGGTTTTATTTATTCATTGGAAATTATTTCAAAATATTTAGAGTAATTTGGTTGACCACATTCACATGCCATGCTTATTTATTTCTTGATTTGATTCTTTTTTTTGGTCATTGGTCTGCATGGGGAAGCACTGCTGTCTTCTTGCAGCAGTAATTTCCTGTTCTATTTTTTGAATGTAGTGGTGAATAATTCTCTCTAAATGACCCACTGCAAAAAAACTGAAATCTAAATAAGTCTTTTTTTTCTTAAAATGAGTGCATTTTCCTTGAATTGAGGAGGTAAGTGAGAGACTTTGCCAGTGGAATATGCTGGTCGAGATTCTCAGTCATCCAGATCATAGTCATTTCAAAAAAAGAAAATTATAAACAATCCACCAGACTTTGTTTCCAAGTTTTAAGACGTTTTGCTTCCCACCCAGGAAGCTTTTTCAATTCAAAATGTCAGGGATAGCGTTGAGTTTGGGGTTTTATGTCAGGAATAGGCCTTGTTGGGTTACTGCATAAAACCACGATGTCAACGCTATTCCTGACATTTTGCTTCCATTTCGCTTCTTGGATAGGAATAGAAATGTGTTCAGACTTGAAAACAAAGTCCAGTTAATTTATTTTAATTTTCTTTTTTTGGTTGGTTAGTGGAAGATAATTTACTTTAACAAAAGCAAAAAAAAATGCATTGCCTTATTTCAATTGCATATCATCTAATAATCTTAATCTAAGAATAACGCTACTCATTCTATTGGCAAATAAAATGAATTCAAGAGCTTATTTTTAACTTATTTCTTGATCGTTTTTGCCGTGAGTGTGTATGATGCTGTTTTGCCTTCTTTCCTCTGTAATGACCTGTTTTTTTACCCACTGACTGGGTAAGATAGTTACCTGCCTCTCTGAAACAACTTCCGGGTATGAGGTTATGACATTTTAATCCACAAAGACATGGCTGAAATTGGTCAGATTGATTCTCTTAGTGACCTTACTAAATATTAAAAAATGTAATGATATTTATTATGTTAAAAAAAATTCTAATTTTGTCTTTTACTCTTGACTTCCTGTAGAATGAACAACAGAGACCGATGGAGAGTGTACAAGAGGGTGTGTGCCATGTTCCTCCTGGCTGTGGTGGCACTTACCGTTGTCCAGAGGAGCAGCATCAACATGGGGGCTCCCTTTGAGCTGGAGCGCCAGGCTCGCATGCATCTTTCCCAGCTATCTGACCCTGAAGCCCCCCCAGAGAAAAAAACTCCCTCACTCCTGGGGTTTAAGAGCTTCTGGAAGGTTGGTAGGCAGAAGCCACAGACCAATGCCTGGGCCACCCCAGAAGAGCCCAAGTTTACAGACAACATCAGCCCTGGTAGCTGGGACATAACCAGCTCCAACTGCAGTGCCAACCTCAACTTCTCAAGCCAAGCGTGGTTCCAAGGACTTGAAGAGAACTTTAGACAGTTCTTGCTTTATCGCCACTGCCGCTTCTTCCCCATGATTCTCAACCACCAAGAAAAGTGCACAGGGGAGATTTATTTGCTCATGGTGATTAAATCAGTGGCTACCCAGCATGACCGTAGAGAAGTTATTAGAAAAACTTGGGGAAAGGAGCAAGTGATCAACGGTAAGAGGATAAAAACCCTCTTTCTACTTGGAAAGCCTTCAAATGAGGCAGAAAGAGCTAACCATCAAAAACTAGTAGAGTATGAAGACTATATATATGGAGATATTCTTCAGTGGGACTTCTTAGACAGTTTTTTCAATCTGACACTGAAAGAGACTCACTTTCTCAAGTGGTTCCATACCTACTGCCCAAGAGTGCAATATGTCTTCAAGGGGGATGACGACGTGTTTGTGAGCGTTGAGAACATTTTTGAGTTCCTTCAAGACAGCAGCCATGACAAAAACCTATTCATAGGGGATGTGATCTTCAAGGCTAAGCCCATCCGTAAGAAGGAAAACAAATATTATATCCCCCAGGCTTTGTATAATAAAACCTATTACCCGCCCTACGCTGGGGGCGGGGGGTTTCTCATGCATGGGATGCTGGCGAGGAGGCTTCACTGGGCTGCTGAGACCCTTGAGCTGTACCCCATCGACGATGTGTTCTTGGGGATGTGTCTGGAGGCGCTGCAGGTCACGCCGGTAAAACACAACGCCTTCAAGACATTTGGCCTGGTGAAAAACAAAAATAGTAAAATGAACCGGGAGCCTTGTTTCTTCAAAAACATGATAGTGGTGCACAAGCTCCTTCCATCGGACCTCATGCACATGTGGTATCTGGTCAACAGTGACCTGAACTGTTCAAAGAAAGTGGAACTCCTATAGCTCCAGGAGAACAAAGGACTAAAGCTGAACTTTACCACAGGGAATGGCAAATACTGTGCTGCAAATGCAGCAAAGGAGAAAGCAAACTTTTATGGAAACTCTCCTTTATGTGGAGAGAGACAAAGTCAATATTTAATTTGCTGATTCTGAGCAGCAATGGGTGTTTTAGAGGAGTTTCTTCAAATGTCAAGTAAATTATTGCAATTTCTAAAACTTTATGAAGATTTGTAAGTTTTTATGTATGTACTATGTTGGCACTCAAATTCAGAGACAGCATTTATCAATTTTCTGCTATTTAATATGGTGCTGTGGGCTCGCCTGTGAATGTTCAAACATGCTCTCACCTCGCCTGAAGCAGTCATACATGCCTTCCTCCTCACACTTTCCGTTATTCGAACAACAATTCTACCAATTAATAAACTTACATTTCAAAAGTACAAGCAGCACATATTCAAAAGCACCTTCAGCAATTTCATAGAGCAATTACAGAAAAAACATTCAGCTGCATAAAAGTAGAAGTCCCAAAGCTTTTGTTTGACATCAAGGTCACTCATGCTCTACAGTAAATATTAGTAAATAATTTCAACTTAGGTAAAGGAAAGCTTAACTCAAAAATGCAAACAGCTTTTTAACAATAGGATACTGATTATAAACAACACCGTATAACTACTTGGCTTTCTGTCAAAATAAAACAGCTAGATTCTTTGCTAAAACTAGGCTGGCTTAACGTCATCTTAAATGTCTATCCTCTTTTTTGTTTGCCAAAGTTTTAAAGGCAAGAATGAAGTTTTGTTTAAATAATTTATTTAAAATGACAAAGTTTAGTAAATCTACATTAATCATTCTGTAATGCTTAATTTGTTTTGGAAGTTGGGGGTAAGATCTGGGAATGAGGTCATATCCTGTTCTACTTGCAAGTTACAAGTGGTAGAAAAAATGATGCGGGTTGAAGCGAAATAGTGGCAATATAATGGGGGAAATGCATTTTCCTTCACTTTAGGTTTTTTAAACAATAAAAGAAGGATTTAGCTCATATTGATTTGACCACATTATGTGTGCAATCAGTTTTATAGAAAAATCCAAAGTGCCTACGAATAGCACACTTCCAGCTCTGACATAAAAAAAAAGCATATGTACGGGAGCAGTATTTGGACAAGAAAGCCAGAAATCATTTATGTTAACTTAATCAAGTTAGACATGTGCCATGGTTTTTTTTTTTTTTTTGAATGTTCCTAAGCTGGGAAGTAAAATTGGATGATTTTATAGTTATTTTACCCTTAATAATTAAATTTTTCTTTCGAGTAAAGGGACCTTACTGTGTACGAGTTAAATAATTTAGGGAATTAAAATGAACCATCCTTTCCTTTTTTTTTTTCAGTCGTTTTAAAAAAACAGTTTGAACTTATAGAATAAAACTAATAGAAAATGTTGAAAAAATGCTGATTTGCTTACTTACAAAGTCTTCTAATAAAAGGATTAGTGCTTAATAAGTTTAGTCTGTTTTACTGCGGTGACTACAATGTGAAGAAAAATCTTACATTTATTTTAATTTTAAGTAGGAATCTTAACTGCTTGATTTAGGAACAGTTAAAGCCCAACCCTTTTTATGTTGTCAGAGTTTATTTTTACTTAAGATAATCAGACGCTTTTTAGTTATGTTTGGATCTCATTGGGGAAATGTTATTCAAAGGTAATTTTCTCAGCCGATTCAAATGATTGTTCCAAAATAATTTTTTTAAATCACTTAAAAATTTCTAACAGAATTTATTTTCCTGTTGCTTTGAAATGTCTTTGATTTAATCTAGAAATCTACTGGATGCATATTACTGTAAACTTAAAAGAAAACAAATTGTACTTGTTAAGCATGTTAAATCTTTGGATTTAAACCTGCTGATATACTTGACTTGAATTTATTAGGGAGAGGTGACAATAACTGTGAATTTCAAACTGTTGGTACGAGTTTGTGGCTTTTGTTCCTCCTCCAATGAGAGAAGCGGGCAAACGTTGGTGTTTTAAATTTATTTAAATGTCTGTCATTTAACTCCAAGTGACAGCGATAGATAAACAGAGAGACAGACAGACAGATGGGAGATCATTTGTAAATAAACATTTTCACAATAAAGTTAAGAATGTCTCCTAAATTCACTTTTTTTGTGTTGATGTGGCTTACATAACAAAAGGTAACCCGTGAAATTATAAAAAAACGTAACAAAAGCATGTGTTGTACAGCACATACTAGAAGTGTCAACCTTGGTCTCAATTCTATTTTGATCGATATCTAATACTATCTTTGTTTTCACCAAACCGATAATATCAGTAGAGCAGGAAATACACTTTACCAAACAAAAGAAATACCCTCCGCCTTGGGCCCAAGAACAATAGAGCCAAACAGAAACTGGATCATCTTTATATTGTGTTTCATAGGACTGCTCTTGCCAAAGCAGTAGCTTGGATTTCAAATAGTTGAACCATCTCTTGTTTTACAGCCAATGTTAATGTACACCCTCCAAGCTCAATTATCTCTCTTATTAGACATTTTCGGGATGCCTTATCAGATAATGCCCAATAAAGTGAGTTCCTACTGTTTATTGTGTCTATTTTTAGTCAGGTGAGTATTTTATTCAAATCATTAGTAGTATGATTTGAATTTGGGTAAAAGACATGTTTGTTCACTTTGTTATAGAGACCGGATAATAGAAAAGTTTTGGACTAAAGTCAGCATCATGTTCCAAAATTACACAAGCCACAAAGGTTAGTTACTTTGTAAGAGAGCACCAACTTTTACTCACACACATTTAAATAAGCTCTGGGTTTGTGTTACTTCTTTGATAGACATGATGTAGTATAAAGGTATGACTCCAATATTTCCTCTCACATAAACCAAATATCTGCAGGTATGAAAAGTACTTTTATTGTTACTCATTTTTAACTATCTGTCCTTACTTTTTTTCAACAGCTTTTTGCTTTTGCGATACAAGTAGACATGATTAGAACAAATCTCATGAAACCGTAACTGTTTACTCTACTTTGCCCCTCTAATACTCCAAATCCTTTGGTAATATTTGTAAAACAACATCATACTGTTTGATTATTGGGCTGGGAAATAATTGAATGCAAAAAGGCTAAATGAAAGAGACAGTCAAACGTGTACAAATCATCATAAAGATGCTAGATCTTGTGGTGTAAACTTTTTTTTTTTTAGTAATGTGAAATCTTTCCCACAATTCCACTTTAAAAGCTCAAAAATATGTTAAAGGTAAAGTTTAAAGAAATAAAAAAAAGCTTTCTTTGATACCTAAAATATCAAATGAATAAACAGTGCCAAGACCATCATGCCTGTTAAACATACAAATATTTTATGCTTCTATTGGGTTAGTTTTCTTTAGGTGATGCTTAGGTATTTTTAAAGGTGGATGCAGATATGTGCAGCTAAAAAAACAAAAAAAAAAACATAAGCTTTCAGTTATTCTAAAAGGTAAGATTGATGAAGGAATTTATTTGTTAAATCTCACGATGAGTCTGACCTCATGAGAGAAAGATAAAAGTTTAGGAATTACTTAGTATCTATAAAAACTAAATCTGATTCAAAATCAAATAGGGCACCAAAATGGGTCATGAACATGAGTTATCCTCACAACCTTATTGTTTTTTCAAGCAGTGGGCAAACACAGATCACACAAGACTGGCCTCTGAGATTAAATCTAAATCTGCTCTGAAGAATTTGTTTCACAATGTTCACAGGGGCCGTTGCACCATTTATTGGTTTTTACTGCTACAGATTTATCTTCCTCAAACAACGGCACAGGAAATATGCCACAATATATCTGGATGAATTTCAAATGATTCATCATGGTCTTGTTCTTTTGACAACACGGCACTGACCTTTTTAACAGAGTTGCGTAAATTCAACAATATGTTGAAATCATAAAACCTACTGTAGCTTAGTTGTCAGGGAATATGGAGACCTCACTAGGAGAGGAGAGGATTCAGCACCCATGGCCAGAAAGTTGAGTAACAAAAAAATAGGAGAAACAGTTTTTTACAACATTAGCAATCAGTCTGTGGTCAGTTACGCAAACAAAAGGTGGATTTCTAGTTCACAGATCTGACTAAGAGGTTAATTGACCTAACCAGAGTTCCTGACAGGGAGAAACATATCAATGTGTGCCATACCCTTTCCATGGCCCAGCTGATTGCATCTAGTCATTGACTTTGCAGAATTCACTCGTCCTTGATGACAACTTGCATGATAACTTGCAGTGCCAGTGAGTTTTCAGCAATCCTTCAAGCAAGCCAAAGAGAAGAAGTCTTTTTAAATGAGAAGAAACTTACAGCAGAACCAGGTTCAGTGTGAGCGATATTCTGCCATCACTGACTGTGGGTTTGAGAAAACAGAAGCAGACCCACAAAGGGAACCAAGAAGCTCTGAAATAGGAGTACTTTTTATGTGAAATAAACCTGTTTTATGACAAGATGATTCCATATATGACCACCCCCTTATTTGTTTACTTCCCTGTTTTTTCGGAACAAACGGCGCAAGATGCTGTAATGTTTCTATGATACTATGCAGAAAAATTGGCTAAACAAAAAACGAAACAGAGCCAATAACTGAAAAAAAAGTTCTACCAATGTGCCTCAAATGTTTGCCAAAGGTCTGCCTCTTGTAGAAAAGTATGAAAAAAAGGCAATACAACATTTATATATATAAAAATTACATATTTATATAAATATATATATAAATTATATATATATATATACGCATTGTGGTTTTCTAAGTTGGAAAAAATATTTGTAATAAACAGCAATTCAAGATGAGAGCAGCCTATTTTGGTCATTATGCAAATTGGTTGTATAAAATACAAAAAAAAACCCGGAAAATTGAAGTACTAAAAAATAAAAAAACTCACCGCATAATGGTAACAAAACAAACTGGTTATGAATTTCTTAAAGCTTAAGTGGTATTAACAAAACTGATGGAACTGACTCATCAAGTGGTGGTGAAAATTTCTCACATTAGTGAGGATGTTTGCTCAGGCAAGTACACAGCCAGCATCCAGACCAGCGTAGTTAGCCATTAGAAGAAGCCTTTAATGTCATCCAGGTCAGAGTCAGTTAGATGAGGATGCAAACTTTCACACTAAACCTCTACTTTCTTTAAAAAGCCTTGTCATAGAGCAAGGCTCCTGGCAAGGCTTTGTGTAGAAATTTTATTGTTTATTCTGGAGCTTAATGATTTCTACAAACACTCTGATAGAAAAAATAGAGAAAGCCGTAGGCTCTCTAATGACTTAAACTAAATAAAAATCATAGACCTTCATCTCTTTCTGCATGATTCACAAATGTAGCACCATCACAACAAAAATAGTAAATACAGCACTCAGTCACAAACATGAGTTACTTTAACTGCATTATTTTCCATCTGTAACACTGCCTTGGAAAATTGATTGAACTACCTTTTCCCTTATTTTCATCCTATAATGAAAATCTTAATGTATGTTATTATAAGTAATAGATCAACACATGTTAAATGAAAGTAATACTGTTTTCAACTTTATGTTTAACACTAAAACCTTAAAAAGATGGTGTTCAGTGTTTACTGCCTTTAATCCAGTCACTTAAAAGTTACCTAATTAGTCAAACCAAGGGTGACTTAATCATAGCATATATGAAACTCTGTTTATACCAAGATTAAACAGGACCTCAAAGAATTGTTCCAAAACATTAGTGAACAAACAGAGTAATGAAGTTCGAGGAACATGACAGGTAAGGGAAACAGAGACATGTTACTTCCTGAAATTTGCAGGTTAATAAAAAAAAAAAAGCAGCACCTAGGGGCCTTGTGCTATTCTGGAGGAGCTACAGAGAACTGCGACTTAGGTGTAAAAATTTATTTTCATCACACACATCAGTACTCTACAAATCTGGCCTGTGTGTATATGAATAAATCCACTGTTGTAAAAAGTAATTACAAACCCCAATTGGAGTTTGTCATGATTCAGGAAGGGGACACATCAAACATGCAGAAAAAATTTATCCAGTTGGATGGCAGGACAACTGAACAGAATGCTGGAAAACATGCTAGAGGTGGAATCATGCTTAGGGACTATTTTCTTCAGCAGGGGGCTAAAAGCTTAACAGGTTTGATGAAAACTTGCATGGAGCTTAATACAGTTAGACAGTAAAAACCAGATGAGGATGAATATAAGACACTTTGACAGAGGTTCACCCTCCTGTAGGAGTATGACATGACAAAATGGGAATAAGGGCAAGGAAATGCCTATTTTTGCAAGGCATTTATATCATGCCTCTACAGATACAACACAAGCATTATGATTTGGATAAAACAAAGAAAACAATATTTTTTCTTAAAGAGTTGGGCTGGTATCAGCCTTACTAGGTGACACAGAAAAGAGAGGAAAGATTTCTGACACACATTGCCAAACAGAAGAGATGCCATGAGCTTCGTCAGTTTTTTAGTAGGGGGCAGTGGCAACAGACCTCTGAATGGAGTGATTACTTAGTTCTATTATCAGTGCCTTTGCCCAGGCAACTTTAACAACAAAGATGCCCGTTCCGCTCCAACAGCCAATCAAATGACTGCTCTGCAGTTTGTCACTGACAAGAAGGACCTGCCAAGATCTCTGCCAAATCACAGGGTCACAGCTGATTATGTTGTTATCCTCTTCTCACAGGAATATGGAGAACCAACTCTTCCATATTTAAAAATAAATACAGAAATAAAGACTCAATAAATATATAAGCATACAATTAATTGCCAACAAAAACACAATCAACAAATAAATGTAAGTAAATTATACAGTGAGACATAAATGTATATAACTCTTAATTAGCTTCTTTATTTATTTGCCTTTGTAATATTTACCTTATTTATTTTTTTGTCCTTTATATATATATTTTTTTTTCATTTCTGCCTTCCCTTTTAACATTTCTGCCTGCCCTCTTTACATAACAGGAACACTAAGGTTAAATAAATAAATTGAACTCACATTGGAGAAATTTATCTCTGCATTTAACCCTTCCCCTTAGGGAGCAGTGGGCTGCCATTGTGAGACGCCCGGGGAGCAGTGTGGGGTTAAGGAACTCCCAATCTCAGGATTCAAAGCTCTATGCCCTAACCGCCAGGCCACCATTCCCCTAAGGTTACATCGCAGACTTGTTCCTCAAAAAATTTAAGTTATTATCTCTGTAGACAAATATGGTTTGATCAGCACCGGGATGATGGCATATGGTACAATGGTTAACAAATCAATCATTCAAATCTTGGCCAAAAACAAAATGAAATATTGAGTAGGCTGATGAAAGAGGATGCAAACCTGAAACACTGAACCTTAACTCTAAAAATAATCAGTGGTGTCTAAAGTACACACATTTGTTACTTTTTTAATTCCAATATCTATACTTCTACTTAAAAGTAGAAGTATAGATATTGGAATTAAAAAAATTTTATGGTAAAATTTCAAGTATCAACTTGATCTCTTGACCTCAAGTAAAAGTGAAATGTGTGTAAAAGTATGTGAAGTATGTGCTCCGAAAACTACTTAAAGCTACAGTGTGTAACTTTTAGCGACATCTAGCGGTCAGACTGCACAGTGCAGCAACATGAACATCTCCCACCCATCGCTTCTCCCCCCCAACAATACGGCGAGCGTTACGGGACAATACGGCGAGCGTCTTCCACGACGTCCGCATCATAGATATCCATAATAAATAATATAATTTTTTTAAATGTAAGGAATAGAAAGTACAGATACTTGTGTGAAAATGTAATGAGCAGAAGTCAATCGTAGTAAGAAAAATAGGTAATGGATTAAAGTACTTAAGTACAGTAACAAATTTTGTACTTCAACATTTTGTCACTGGCAACTTTATGCAGAAGTATAGTTTATCCTGGAACTTCAATGGGAGCAAATTCTCTGCAAGAAGCACAGGAAACCATGAGACCTCCAGTAGCTTGAGGTTATCTCTCTCCACTTGGGACCACATTGTCTATATTGGTCAAATCCCAAGGGAATGCAAAAATATTTTCTGCTTATGCTTTTAAATTCCCAATAACTAGTTTATACAAACATTACATTCTGTAACACACATCGTTTTGCTAAAAATTTATGTTCACTGTGTAGTAGATAAGCTTTTTTAAAGTATACTGACAAACCGTACTTGTTACTAAGCTTAGCCCACCACCTAAAGAACCTGCAAGCAAAGCTGTTAGCACTTAGAGACTTTAGTTTGTTCTACAGAGATCTATTCAGAGCTCAAAGGGATGAAGCAGGTGAAAAAGATGGGCCTTTATCTATGTTCCTAATGACTGCTGCTATGGCGCCATCTCCTGGTTAGAATTTTCCCATCTTCTAGCTGGAGAAACCCTTATAAATGTAGTTTTCATAAAACCTACACCTCAATCTAAATTCCCAGATGGAAATTTTGCAGCGTTAATACTTCACAGAAAAGCAAAATAAAGCATTGGAACCGAAAAAAATAACGGCAGGATCCTTCAGAATTGATATGAAAATAGAAAAATCTATTGATTTCACTTTACAGAACCTCTCAAGATCCCATAACTGTAGAAGCAGGGATGTTAAATGACACACCGCCATCCAACACTATCCAAAAACATGAATCCTCTGACCCAAACCTTTCAGATTCAGAAATTTCAGCTGGTCCCTCCTTCAGCAGCTGTTAAACTTGGCCAACTTAAACTGTCCCAACTACCAGGAATTGAATCAACCATAAAAATGAGTTCATACATCCAAAGACCCAAGTTTATAAAAAAAAAAACCTCAGCTCTTGGTGGCCATTAAGATTTTTTTTTTTTTATATATAAGGAACTTAAGGTAATTTAAATACAGTCAAGCTATAACATGGCTAGAAAACAAGACTTTAAAACAAAGGAAATATGAAACGGTATGATGAGCCAGGATGAATGAATGACAGCTCTAAGAAATAAAAGGGCAAGGAGAGGAAAATGACTTTTGGTAAGCTTCAAGTAAGCGTGTATTCTAGTGGGGTCTGGCCAGATTAGAGTTTTTAAGAGCCAAAAAAAAAAAAAATAAAAATAAAAAACGTATCCAGTCCTATAAAATACTCAAGTCAAATTCCCCACTGAATCAGAGTCTAGGAACATCAATCACTTGGCTTTCAAGGTCTTATTTTAAAAACATGTTTACTTTCTTTAATTTCTGTAAACAACCCATTTAACGATTGAACAGCTCAAGCCAGACAGTTATTTTCACACAATAAAAAAAAAAAAAGTTAGGCCCTGAAAGGTTTATTTTTATCAAGTGAAAATCTTAAGATGGGGAAACAGAATTAGGTCAGACAACGCTTAGAAACAGCGGCAGAGCATCCACAGACCCTGCTCAGCGACTAATCCCCATCTATTAACCGGGACATGAACCATGAAAACATGAATAATTTCATATTTAAATTCAACTAAAGAAAACTTAAAACAAAATAAAAATGGATACAGGTGTAAATTCTTTTTTTTTTTTTTACAAAAAAGGTAAAATGAAAACATACTAACTGTTTAAATTTACACAATATATCTCACAAAACGAGCTTTTTAACATAAGCCCGCTTCTGAGATATTCCATTTTACTCCTTCTGAAAACCCTTAGGAGGAAAGGGGTGCAGGTCTGCATTTGGGACTTTCAGTTCTCACATGTAGCACATATGCTGAAAAGGTCTGTAGTACCATTCTGGCACAGGAGGGCATAGCAGGTGAGGGAGGTTGAGATAAAAGGGCTTAAAATGCCCCATTCTAGTTAAATATCACTGACGATTTCTGGAATGTCCAAAGGCTCTGAAAACTGATGAAGCCAGAGTCCATTGCAAAACAAAAAAATTTAAGCCCCGCATCTAGTCATCAAACTTGATTTTCTTCCCCTGGGGCTTGCCTCCAAATCCACCGCTGCCTCTTCCACCTACAATTAAACAAGCGCCAACATGTTAGCGATGAGCAGTTAACCAAAACACCAAACAAAGAACTTATGGAGATCATCCTGAAGTGCTCCAATTACCTCCAAAACCACCACGGAAGCCTCCGCGTCCACCCCTTCCTCCTCCTCCTCTGCCTCCACCGCGTCCGCCAAACCCACCACGGCCTCCGCGGAAACCTCCACGTCCTCCGCCGCCGCCACCTCTACCTCCTCTGAAGCCTCCTTCACCCCTTGGCTTGGCGTAGTCCAGGGTCACTTTGCTGCCATCGATTTCACCGTCGTCCATGGCTTCCTTTGCCGCCTTGCAATCGTCTTCATTATGAAAGTCCACGAAACCAAAACTGTAGAGAGAAAGCTAAAGTTAACACTTGTGCTTTGGAGGCATCTTTAAAAATCCAGCTAACATCAATCCATAACTACAAGTTGAGGTCTACATTGAGAAACTCCTGTCTCACATCAGACATGGACAGCTTCCACCTAGAAAGCCATCTGTTTAAATATGAGTGTACTCTACTTCCTGTGTGAATCGTCACACTGCCACAGCTAGACAGATGGCTGATCACCAGAAGCATCAAAATTTCGGCTATAAAGAAAACTAACCCCTTTGATGAACCGGTGTCTCTGTCTGTAACTATTCTGGCTGCCACGGCCGATTCAAAGGAATCCTTCAGAGTCTGATCCGTTGTGTCCTCAGAAAGACCCTTGACAAAAAGAGTTTTTGTTGGACCTGGTAGAAGAGGAGAAAAACAAGGTGTTAAATTCAATCTAGACAAAAACTGAGTGAAGTAAGTGAAAGCAAATGACCGGATCAGGACTTGACTATCTTAGAATCTTCACAAAGTCTCAGGAGATCAAGTTTTCATCATATCTGGTAGAGAAAAATGGTAGAAGACTCCGTTTCAGTGGTGAATACATACCAGAGTTTCCTCTGCCTCCATCTCTTCCACCGCTGTTCTGACTGAACTCCAGGCGGACTGAACGACCTTCTATTTCTGTGTGGTTCAGGTTTTCCAACGCGTCCTTGGCATCATCCGCACTCTCAAATTCTACAAAAGCAAAGCTAAAAAAAACAGGATAGCGTTAGGGTAAACCGCTCTGCCGAAAAATAAAAAGACAACATGGTGGTGTTGACTGAAATTCTGATGTGTAGCACAGCAGACTATAGTAGTGCCCATATGAAAGACGGGCAAAATCCATTCATACTGTGCACTGACTATGCTTCTCGTGCGAATCCATGTATAATCATAGATTAGATTAACAGGAGCTCATGAGAAGGTTAACAGCTCTTTTTTTTAACATGAAGCTCCAGTCACAAATATTTACCCTTTAGGTCTTCCATCTCGTTGGGGAATCCTTATAGAGACGGATTTCTCAAAAACGGATTGCAGCACTTCCTCAGTGGCACTGAAGGAAAGGTTATTGACCACTAATGTTTTGCTGGGAGCTCCTGAAGCTGCAAAACACCAAGGCAGTGGTAAGACCAACATGCTTAAGGAAAGTGTTCCAGATGGCTTTTTAAATTCATCATCATCAAGTTGCACCAAATAAAGTGAACGGAATTCTAGTAATTGTTAAATGCTTACAAGACATCCTTGCTCCTTTCTGGCTCTTGTCGCCGACATAGTCGACCATTATGGACCTCCCCTGGAGATCAGCACCCTGGGCCTCTTCCAGCATCTTTTCTGCTTCAGCCTCAGTCTTAAACTCGATATAGGCAATTCTGTGAACGAAAAAATTTTTAAAGCACCAGTCACTCAAACCGTTTTGACTAAAACAATATAGATGAATCAAGTAGCATCAAGGCCATGGTGATAAGACACTCACCCCCTGCTTGAGCCGCCCTGGCCTTGAGGTAACCTGATGTCAACTGCACTTTCAAAAAACTCTCTCAGCTCATCAGTTGTTACAGAGTAAGGAAGGTTTTTCACAAACAGTGTGCGGGCATCCCTCTCTGAGAAAACATGTTTAAAATTTGGATTAGAAACAAATCATACCACTAAATAATAGATAGAAAGTAATAGATCATGCGATTACCTTTCTTTCCCTCCTGAGAGGTTTCTTTGCTACGGGCCTTATCCAGTTTCACCTCCTGACCCATCACTTTCTTGCCGTTGAGCTCAAGCGCTTTGTTGAGATCTTCCTCACTTGCGCAGTCGACATAGCCGAATTTCCTATCAAGGTAAAATATGCATTATTGCCTACTGAATAAAAAAAAAAAACAAGTACGTACAGAGCGGTAAACCTAAACAAAAGTGTACATTTAGGATGAGAGTTTAAAAAGTTAACCAAACTAAGTTAATATCAGAGCATCAAACCAGACAAAAAAAAGGCGCTCAATAGAACAAAAGAAACTCAAATTTACTTACTTTGATGACCCAAGCCGAACATCAGTGACCTCGACATTGTTTTTTGTGAAGAATTTCCTTAGCCCATCCTTGATCTCTTCAAAATCTTTGTCACTGTTTAAGTTTCCAACAAATAAACTGAATCCTAGAAAAAAAAAAAAAAAAAGAATTTGCTATAAATGTATTAAATGGGAAAAAGATGGCCATTAAAAAAATGTCTTTAAAAAAAAATTTTTTTTTACCTTCATCTGACTTTGCTTTCTTGGCAGGCTGCGCCTCCTTTTTGCCTTCTGCTTTTCTCTTTGCAGGTTTTACTGGAGCTTCTGTTTGGGTCAAAAAAAATAATAATTAAACATCAAAACCAGTAAACAGATAATTTACTTTGTGGACAAACCCAGAGCACATCAAAGCCCATACAAGAAGAGACTTGCATAATCGTGGAATGTTTCATAATCTTACCCTCTTCATCATCCTCCTCGTCCTCATCTTCCTCATCGTCATCCTCCTCTTCTGACTCCTCCTTTGCCTTGACCATTCCGGCTTTCTTTGCCTTTGCGGCCTTAGGAGCTGGAGTGGTGTCCATCTCTTCTTCGGAGTCTGTAATGGACAACATTTAAGTAGTCAGTATCTTTTCACAGAGCATAACAACAAGACCAAACGTGACCCTCTCACATCAGATATATAAAAGGTTGACATCATACAGTATCAGTATTAAGTCCCTTTTGATCATCATAAACTACTCATTTAAAATGCATTAACTCTAAAGGCATACGCAAGTAGCCCTGGTCTTACCATCTTCGTCATCATCGTCTTCCTCAGAGGACTCTTCAGCAGGCTGTGCTTTAGCCGCTGCCTTTGCCGATGGTTTAGCTGATGGAGTCTTCTTCGCTGGTGGAGCCTCTTGCTCTGAATCATCGTCGTCATCATCATCCTCCTCCTCTTCAGCAGCAGCAGCCTTGGCTGCAGGCTTGGCAGCCGCCTTGGCAGGAGTCGCCTTCTTAGGGGGTGGAGCCTCTTCTTCAGAATCATCCTCATCAGAAGACTCTTCTGCAGGTTTGGCCTTTACTGGGGGCTTTGCAGGACCCTTGGTGGGCTTTGTTGGCTTTTTGGCACCCTTCTTGGGAGGCGGGGCTTCTTCTTCTGACTCATCTGCCAAGGAAAGAATCTCATCTTTAATGACAATGTTAGAAATTCAAAGCGAAGATAAAAAGATGCAAATGCATGTGGTGTTGCAGCGATTGAGGATAGAACCGGCAGACATTAAACACACCGGCACCGAAGACATAGCGCTGCATTTGCTTTCCCTCCGTACATTACACACATGAGGATGGGCAACCCCGTGCATGCCAAGAAATGGAGGTTTAGACAACAGTTTTTTTAAGAATGCATTTCCCAAATTATGGACTACTTCAACACACCAGACTCAACAAAAATCAGGGGGATTTCACTACACGACGGTAAATAATTCAGCCACTTGACTCGGGTGTTGAAGCAGATGTATTAAGTGTGGCATCCTAGACCTCAAGGGCTGGAAATTTTCCTTTTCTACTCTGGTACCACCTACCATCATCATCTTCTTCTTCTGATGACTCCTCTGCCTTTGCAGGGGTTGCCTTAGCTGGCTTTGAGTTAGGTGTTTTAGCTTTTGCAGGTGTGGATTTTGCAGGTTTCTTCTTAGGGGGAGGAGCCTCTTCCTCAGATGACTCTTCTGTCAAACCACAGGATGGTTTCAGATGATGTGTTGAAGATCTTACAGTAACAACATGTGGTTTCTTGGTACAACTACAGTGAACCATGTGAATGTATTTCAACTTAAAAAAACGAATGTACTGATGAGTTAGTAAATTCCAATGATTTAAATTCTAGTAATAAAGACCTCCAGTCAGAAAAAAAAAATAGATTCAAGCACACAAGACAAAGGACGTAAAAAGGTGACAACAAAAAATGTTTTTTATGCATACCTGAATCATCATCATCATCACTTTGTGCCTTTTTAGCATTGACGCCGTTCTTGGCAGCCGGTGCCTTCTTTGCTGGGGTCGCTTTCTTTGCAACCTTTGCTGGTGGCGTCTAATACAGAAAATACAAACACAATGAGCTCGAGTCGCTTAGACAATGAAAGAAAGTGGATTCAAATACTTAAGGAAAGTACCTCTTCCTCTTCACTGCTTTCTTCTTCACTAGAGTCCTCCTCTTCCTCTACCTGTTTAGGTGGAGGGGCTTTCTTCTGAGCCTGTTTATTTGCAGCCTAAGGGGAAATGAAAACAGTATATTGATTAACAGAGATCGTTGTAACTGCTGCAATGCATTTGTCATAATACAAAAAAAAAAAAAATATATAAAAAAATCCCATTCTATTCCGTGTAATGCAACGAATGCCTTTTACATTTTATATTTATTGCCAATACATTAACAATATGTTAGGTTAATCGTGCTGTTACACTGTTGTAAAGGCTCTTGGTTTTGGTTGCTTGCCTCGTGTGTCACTCACAGCGTGCATCCACCCACGTGGGGCTCATGAGGCAGGCAAGCTAGCATGTGGGCCACGATTAAACAAAATTAAACTAACGTGATTTGGCAAATTTAAAAGCAATAAATTAAAACACAACCAAATATCGCGCTCGCCATCTTTAGGATGGTGGGCAGAAGCTGAAGCAAATTTGCCAGCAGTCAGAACAAAACGTTGAAAACGTGACCCAAGCTAAAGCTACGGCTTAGGTTTAGGCTACAATAGCATATGCTACCTTTAAAAAGAAAAAAAATCGGTAAGTATACGTTTTAATCCGGGTTTTAACTACTCAAGTTAGAATTTTTGTAAAGTCTCCACTTGTGGCAGACTGAGGGAAGCATGTGAGCCATTTTGAAAAGTGGGCTACAGTTAGCGGGCCAAGCTAGGCCACAAACACGGACATATTCGACTTAAGATCAACGTGTTTAGCGAAAATAATCCACTACCATCGATTGTCAAGACCTAAAATAGCTATACACCCCTTCCAATTGTTACAGTATTTCTCCTAGAATACGTTTTTTTTCCTCTTTCAAATACGCAACAATTTTTGGCGTTATGGGCCTTATGCGTACACAGCATAATATAAAAGCGGGTGTTGGTACAGCAAAACAGGAAAAAAACAAAAAAATGTTCTTACCTTAGCTAACTTCACCATGGTGACTTGTGTTGTGTGTTTCAATGAAACACTGGAATCTGGATGTTTGAAGACGATAAACTGTTCGACTAGTACATGCACGTGGTTGAATCTGCTCAGGAGAAGACAAGACTGAAAAGGACGGCTGGAGCGCGGCGGCTTTTTCTCTCTTGCCCAGCGCGTTCACGTCAGCCCAGTCACATGACTGTTTCAACCAATCAGAAGCGGACGTCTTTGCATCGTGCCTGCGCCTTCAGTATGAAGTAGAATTTAAGCTGCTTCAGTAAGAAGTAAAGTCCTTTGGGAGCACGGTGCTGGCTCTCTTGGCCTTTGGCATGTGGATGGTCGTTTGGTGCATGGCGCGTGTTTTGAAGCTGCTTATGGAGAAATGTCTTGGGCCGTGAGTAGTGAGGAAACAGGAAGCGATTCTTGTGGGATGGAAGAGGGAAATAGTGACAATGAAGGTTGGAAAATAGCAACATCAAAAAATGAGAAAAAGCGGAAAAAACAGAGATCAGTTCAAGGGGAATCTAGTTCAGAACAATCCAGTGATGATCATTCCATACATTCCACAGCACAACAAAATGAATTCAAAGTCATATTCAAAGTCGTTAATCAGGCAGACTCTTTTACAAATTGGAATCCGGTTCACTTAACAAAAACCATCAATAAACTTGTCGGAGAAGTCAAAGGTGCCAGAATTCTGTACAGTGGAGACCTGCTAATTAACTGCAGAGACAGCGCCCAGCAAGGCAAAGCAATACGTATCAACAAAATTGACGGGATAAGAGTTCAGTGCAGCCTAATGGAGAACAAAAAGATCAGCAGGGGAGTCGGTTAAAAACAACAAGAAACGGAGAAAGATCTGACAGTTTATCTGTGCTAATTAAATTCGAAGAAGAGCAATTACCAAGCAAAGTATTCATCGGTTACATAAGCTATAATGTCAAAATCTACAATCCTCCACCATTGAGATGTTTCAAATGCCAAAAATTCGGTCACATTGCAGCAGTTTGTAAAGGGAAACAGAGGTGTGGAAGGTGTGCAGGAGAACATGAGTACGGAAAATGTGGAAAAGAAGCTAAAATAAAATGCTGTAATTGTGGTGGAGAACATACTGCTGCCTATCGCGGCTGTGAAGCAAGCAAAAGGTCTGAGGAAATTAAAAAAATGAAATTTGAGCTCGGAATAACCTACGCTGAAGCTGCAAAAAGGATCCCATCTCAGTCAGAAAAACCCAAACCTACAGTTCAACACACAGCAAATTCCAAACCTCTAGAGAAATCTCTAAAAATTGATGAAGACTCACTTATTGTTAAAAAGACAAATTTTGTTCTTTTCATGGTAGAAGTTATTAATTGTACTGCACAGACAACAAAAAAAACGGAAAAAATCAAAATAATAGTGAAGGCTGCAGAAAAATATCTGGACATTAAAGATTTGAACTGGGAGATGGTTGGAAGTATGATGGGAGGACCGATGGGACCATCAGAAACTGGCAGAGTTAAGATGACCTAGAGTAAATTAAAATTATATGGGCAAATGTGATTTAGTATTATGTTGGTTTAAGTTACACAGGTTTTTTTTTTTTTTTTTTTTTTTTTTTTTTTTTTTTTTTTTTTTTTTTTTTTTTGGGGGGGTGAATCGTTTCCTGTTTTCTTGCTTTACTCCATATCAGTTGGTGGCGGTAATGCACAATTCACAAGTCTGCCAACCGCCATAAAATCCCATAAGAAGAAGAAGAAGCGGACGTCTTTGCATCGTGCCTGCGCCTTCAGTATGAAGTAGAATTTAAGCTGCTTCAGTAAGAAGTAAAGTCCTTTGGGAGCACGGTGCTGGCTCTCTTGGCCTTTGGCATGTGGATGGTCGTTTGGTGCATGGCGCGTGTTTTGAAGCTGCTTATGGAGAAATGTCTTGGGCCGTGAGTAGTGAGGAAACAGGAAGCGATTCTTGTGGGATGGAAGAGGGAAATAGTGACAATGAAGGTTGGAAGATAGCAACATCAAAAAATGAGAAAAAGCGGAAAAAACAGAGATCAGTTCAAGGGGAATCTAGTTCAGAACAATCCAGTGATGATCATTCCATACATTCCACAGCACAACAAAATGAATTCAAAGTCATATTCAAAGTCGTTAATCAGGCAGACTCTTTTACAAATTGGAATCCGGTTCACTTAACAAAAACCATCAATAAACTTGTCGGAGAAGTCAGAGGTGCCAGAATTCTGTACAGTGGAGACCTGCTAATTAACTGCAGAGACAGCGCCCAGCAAGGCAAAGCAATACGGATCAACAAAATTGACGGGATAAGAGTTCAGTGCAGCCTAATGGAGAACAAAAAGATCAGCAGGGGAGTCATTGGAGGAGTTCCTCTAAAAATTTCTGAAAAAGAGATTCTGGAAAACATAAGCGGTGCAAAAGTAAAAGAAGTAAAACGGTTAAAAACAACAAGAAACGGAGAAAGATCTGACAGTTTATCAGTGCTAATTAAATTTGAGGAAGAGCAATTACCAAGCAAAGTATTCATCGGTTACATAAGCTATAATGTCAAAATCTACAATCCTCCACCATTGAGATGTTTCAAATGCCAAAAATTCGGTCACATTGCAGCAGTTTGTAAAGGGAAACAGAGGTGTGGAAGGTGTGCAGGAGAACATGAGTACGGAAAATGTGGAAAAGAAGCTAAAATAAAATGCTGTAATTGTGGTGGAGAACATACTGCTGCCTATCGCGGCTGTGAAGCAAGCAAAAGGTCTGAGGAAATTAAAAAAATGAAATTTGAGCTCGGAATAACCTACGCTGAAGCTGCAAAAAGGATCCCATCTCAGTCAGAAAAACCCAAACCTACAGTTCAACACACGGCAAATTCCAAACCTCTAGAGAATCAAAAAATTGATGAAGACTCACTTATTGTTAAAAAGACAAATTTTGTTCTTTTCATGGTAGAAGTAATTAATTGTACTGCACAGACAACAAAAAAAACGGAAAAAATCAAAATAATAGTGAAGGCTGCAGAAAAATATCTGGACATTAAAGATTTGAACTGGGAGATGGTTGGAAGTATGATGGGAGGACCGATGGGACCATCAGAAACTGGCAGAGTTAAGATGACCTAGAGTAAATTAAAAATTATATGGGCAAATGTGATTTAGTATTATGTTGGTTTAAGTTACACAGGTTTTTTTTTTTTTTTTTTTTTTTTTTTTTTTTTTTTTTTTTTTTTTTTTTTTTTTTTGGGGGGGGGGGGGGGTGAATCGTTTTCTGTTTTCTTGCTTTACTCCATATCAGTTGGTGGCGGTAATGCACAATTCACAAGTATGCCAACCGCCATAAAACCCCATAAGAAGAAGAAGAAGAAGTAAAGTCCTTTGCCCTAATCACAAGTATTGCTCTTATAAATACAAAAAACATCATGTTATGTTGTGATTCTATCAAAGGTGTTTAAATTCAGACGTTAACGCAACTGTTAGTAGTTTAACAAAGTCCAGTATGCAAAGCTCAGCTTTCATAAATCGCAGTTTTAACCATGCAGTTAAACCACATGGTGTTAATATGCTATGGACGCGTTCACACGTGGTGAACGCCTACTCTCAGGAAAACACTAAGCACATTGTTTAATTTTTCTCCTTTTTTTGTTATGATGCTATTTATTAGTCTATTAGATAATTGTAACCCATTTAAAAAGTTAAACATAGCATCAAAGGACTATAGGAGGAAATCACGTGCCTTTGTTACCAAGTTTGCCATGATTTTATTGTTTTCTGCATTTTATTTTATTGCTTTTATTTTATTATTCCCATACAAGGAAAGGGTCCGATCAAAAATACTGATAAGGAAATATGGTATAATTACAGGTCATTGAATTTTTTCAGTATTTTAAAAAAACAAATCAAATGCTATTATTAGTGTTCTTTACAAACTAAATCCTGGTTGCTATCTTAAGTGCGATACAGTCACACATCATGTGTTTTCAGACAGATTTGCAACACGTTATGATTTGGGAATGGCTGCAGATGTCGTCATGCGCCTTTGTGATGACATACAGCAAAAGAATCACAAGGTGTTTTTTGACAATTTCTTTTGCACCATTCCACTTATTCAGGCATTGAAAGAGCAAAGTATCTATGCCACTGGCACATGTAGAAGCAACAGGCTCCAGGGAGCACAGCTGAAGCTGAAAAGTGAAAAGAAACTCAAAGAAAAAGGAAGAGGATCTTGCTCTGTTGTCACTAACACTGAAAACATCACTGTTACACGCTGGCTGGATAGTTCAGTGATTCACATGGCCTCTTCCTGTTTTGGTCATTCCCCACCACATTTTGGCCAGAGATGGAGCAAGAAAGAAAAAAAGATGCTCAACATCCAGCAACCATTTTCTGTGGCCCTATACAATCAACATATGGGTGGTGTGGATCTCATGGATCGGTGTGTTGCAATGTATCCTCACAGACGCAAAAACAAACGCTGGTACATCCGAGTGTTCTTTCACTTCTTGGATGTGACCGTAGTGAATGCCTGGCACATCTACAGAATGTGTGGATTAGAAAAGAAGGACCTTCTGCATTTCAAGGCGCATGTAGCACGCGCACTAATAAATGCAGCTTCCACTCAGAGACAAAAACGAGGGAGACCCAGTGCCACCCCACCTCCACAAAAGCGTAGAGCAGTGTCCAAGCCCCCTCCTGAGATCAAGTTTGGTCCTGGAGACCATTGGCCCCAGCTTTCTAAAGCAAGAAATGCAAACAGATGCCATGACTCTGCCTGCATGCGAAAAACAAAGTATATCTGCATGCAGTGTCTTGTGGCTTTGTGCCCTGGTTGCTTTGCCAATTTCCATACAAGATAATCTTTTTGCACTGAAACTGTCATAATGTGCTGGAGGACATTTGAATGATAGAAAGGTTGTCATAGCAGGAGGCAGATGCGTAATTGGAGGCATGTTACATGTTATCGTTATCATTTAGCTGTTCTTTGCTTTGAAAATGTTTAAATTGATTTGTTTTACAGTTCTGTGATACATTTCACAATTTTGAAATATACATTAAAAAGTATGTTGATCAGACAATGTTTTTAGATGTATCTTGTGAACAATAGTTTTCTTTAAAACAAAACAAAACAAGGTTATATCAGTTGCACAAATGCGCATTGTCCACCCGAGTGGAC